ATCCCATAGACACTTCTGACTCCCCATCAGCAGTCGGATGGATAGGTTAACAAATGATGGTATGGCAGCACAGTGGAATACGACTCAGCAGTTGGAGGGGATGCATGACATGGGTGCACGTCGGTGACCTGGGCTGGAGAGCAGGACTGTGGCTCCTGGTACCCACATCAGGTGGCTCACTACCACTTTTGACTATCCTTCTAGGGAGTCAGATGCCCTCTGGCCTCCCTCTTGGGGCACCTACATACACACATGGTGCACATGAGCTCACTCAGGCTCACATAACTAAAATGCACAAATAAACCTTTGAAAACAGTGGTGATTCTGGGTTACAGAAGCTAAACAACAAAAAGAAAACACACCATGTGGTTCCACTTATATAAAAGTATAGATGCAGTTGCTAGGGGTGGTGATTTACTGAGTGGATGAGGTAGGGGAAGGTCGGAGGGAGGGACTACAAGAGAATAATAGAATACACTCACCTTAATTTCAGTAATAGTTTCAAAACATACCCAATTGCAACCATCGTGTGTTTAACTCATATGTGATCACTTGAATATAGCTGGGAAACCCCTCAATACCAAAAGGCTTTCAGTAGGAGAACAACAATCCTTGCCTGCACTTCTCCACCTACCCCAACCCTGTTTCCTAGAGCAGCCACTCTGAGCAGAAAACACGCTTTCTCTGTTATTTGTTGGCTTGTGTCTTTAGAACTGGTCTGTAGGTCAGACCTCAGCTGTCTTGTTCCACTGAGTTTAATTCTCTTTCTAACATCCTAATAACAATATTAGCTAAGTCAATATCAGTGTTAGCATTGCTGGGGACATTGAATATCAAATGCTACTGTATCAAGAAGTATATTTTATTTCTTTAATATCCCCCACAGTTAATGCAATAATTGCATTTCCCCTAGTTCCTTTGCTTTCAATACATACGGCTGGCTTTTTCAAATGTCTTAATAGATTTGTCAGACACCAAGCAGCCATAGGTGTTGAATTAATCTCTCTCTACCTCCTTTCCTCCCTCTCCACCACTGTGTGTGTGTGTGTGTGTGTGTGTGTGTGTGTGTGTGAACTACTTATCCTCTTTCCTCCACGTCTTGAGAGCCAGGTTTACAAGCCACCACACCTGGTTTACACAGTTCTGGAGATTGTATCCAGGACCCTGTACGTGTGAGGCAGGCACTTAACCAACTGAGCGACATCCCCAGCTCCATGAGCAGCTGATCCCAGTCTCCACTCTCATTCCCAGGTCTCTTTCCTTCACCCATCCGTCTTCCCGTCAAGTGTGCTCTGATTGCCTTGTGCACTAGACTGCCAGCTGTGCTGCTGAGGAGCCTCTCTGTCTTCAGTACCGGGCACTTGAGTCCTGCGTCCTTGAGACCTGCGTCCTTCTCTGCCATTTCCCTTCATGTTTTCATCAATGTCTTTATCAGGTCTGCTACATACTCTACTTTCCTCCCTCTCTTACTGAAAGTAGATTTTTTTCCATCACATAATATATCCGGATTATGATTTCCCCTCTCTCCTCCCAGCTCCTCCTCCCCTCCCATCTCGATCCCTTTCTGCCTCAATAGAAAACAAACAGGCTTCCAAGGGAATATTACATATTATAACATAACAATATAATATAATGTGATAAAATCAAAACTAACACTTCAGAGTAGAACAAAACCAGCAGAAGGAAAAGAGCCCAAGAGAAGGCACAGAGACAGAGGCCCGGTCGTTCACACACCCAGGAGTCCCAAAAAACAACAAACTGGAAGCCATAATGTGTATACAAGAGACCTGTAGGGTAAAAACAGAGAAAAAGAAATATGTAACTAAAATAAAAAAATCTTTATAAAAAAAAGAAAGAGGAAAGGCCAGCATGAGAATGTAACACAAGAAGCCTCCACAGACACCGTCTCCGTGGCATGCACTGCTGGGCACACAGCCCACGCCTAAGAGTGGTTTCTTTTCCCTAGTGAGACTCACTTGGAGGAAACTTTTTTTTTTGCAGATGGTTATCAGTTGGAGAGGCTTCTGGGTTAGGATGGAGACGTGTTCCCGTCTCCTTTCTGCTCTAGGATGCCATCCGGCGTAGACCTGTGCAAGCTGTGTCAGCCTCTGTAAATTCATATGTGCGTCGATCCTGTTGATTTAGAGCACTTTGGTGTCCTCCGTCTCCTTGGTCCTACAGCCCTTCCCCCTCCTCTCCTGCTAAGGTTCCCTGATTTCTGATGGGAGGGATTTGATGGAGATATTCCATTAGGGCTGATTGTCCAAGGCATCACACTCTGCATACAATATCTGGCTGTGGGTCTCTGTATTTATTCCCATCTGTAGCGGCATATTGTCCCTGCAAGTTGGGAGGAGCTAAGATGGGAGGAATAAGGAAGGAGAGGAGGAGTAAGGAGAGGAAGAGTAAGGAGGGGAAGAGGGAGGAGTAAGGATAGGAAGAAGAGGAGAGTAGGAGGCAGAAATGTAGGAGCCATGGATGGCCATGCATGTATCAAGAGCAGTCCTGGGTAAAAAACTTATATCTAGGTTAGGTAATTGGTTAACGCTTCTAATTGTGTGGGCATCTTGTTATTTGAGCATTGCCAAATAAATACAGCTATTGGATAATCTTTAACCATTAGAGTCTCATTTCTACCGGGTACCGCATGGATGGCGGGATGGTCTAGGCTCAGCCCAACCTTGTGGAGACAGCGTGGGAGATTGGCAGAGTCATCTCCCATTCTGGTGTTTCATGGGGGCAGGGCCGGTGTTCTGGCCGCCTGAGCAGCAGTGAGAATGCCACCACGGCTCGTGGCCACAGACCTAGGCTAGTCGGGGACATGGCGGATGATTAAGAACAAGCAAGATTAGGTGCCACCAATTTAAAATATTACTGCACACCACCTGCTACAGGAGGAACCTTCACAGTACATACTCTACTTTTTAATTTGAAAGCTAATTTTAAAAATTCTTTCCAGGCCCCAAAATGTCATTATTTTACCCTAACCTAACTATATGGCTAGACACAGAATTCTTTTTCTATTTTTTTTTCTCTGTGTAGCCCTGGCTGTCCTGGAACTCACTCTGTAGACCAGGCTGGCCTCGAATTCAGAAATCCTCCTGTCTCTGCCTCCCAAGTGCTGGGATTAAAGGTATGCACTGCCCGGCTTCAGAATTCTTTATTGAAGGTCATTTTCCTTCTGAATTTTAGAATGATGTCTTCATTGCCTTTTAGCATGTGATGCATGTATGATGAAATGTTTAGAATTATTTCCGTTGCGTACTTGTCCCTTGGATGCATTGTGCTCTTTCTTTCTGGTCTGATTGTTTGTTTTGGTGTTGTCATTGTCCATTCTTCCCGTTTGCACATGTTCCGGTTATCCAGTTATCTTTCATATTTACATTTACAGGAGAGAGACGTCATGGAGTAGCAGGCTACCTCAGCAGCGAGTGGAATACTCAGAGACCCTCCCCTCCTTTAATCCTGGTGGGGAGGGTAAATGTTAAGAAACAAATGGTAGACTTAGGTAGGGACAATAAGGGGTGGAACATGACAGAATCCTTTAGATAGGCACGTGGAGGATTCCTGTGCAGGTGACAGGTGAGCAGACTCAGACTCAGTGAGGTCAGAAGTCATGGCTGGTAGAATGAAGGGACAGCAGGTGGAAAGCCCGAGGCAGACGCAGCATGGGAAGCAGAGGAGAGGGGGGGGGGCAGAAGACGAACTGGAGCCAGTGTGGGGGTCTGGGGCTTGAGGCCCGAAGGCTTGGTAAAGACTCTGACTAGTTCTGGTGGAGTCCTTGGACAAACTTAGGTTTTAGATAATCGTATTGGTGGAACTATGGGTTGGTATGAATGTGAGATTAGCAAGCGTGGGATAGAGTGAGACCCATAGGAGGCTTTCAGTGGGCCAGGGAGGATACAGTGCCTTTGACGGGGTGGTTAACAGTGGCAAATGGTCAAATCTGACGTATGTTTTAAGGGAGAATCATAGGACTTACTGATGGACTGGATATAAAGAGAAAGGAAGAGAGTAAAGGTTGGATCTCGAGGTCCTTGGCCTGAGCAGCTTGAGCATCATGAGATACAGACGGTCGTGGGACTGTTTGGAGGACCGGGGAGCTGTGTTGTAGGTGGATGGAGTGTGAGGTGCACCAGAGAGATGGGGCTGGTGGGTAGGTGGATGGAGTGTGAGGTGCACCAGAGAGATGGGGCTGGTGGGTTTTCCTGGGGCAGGGTTCTGGCAGGAATGTTTTAGGATCTATGCTCTAGAGCATCTGCCTTACTTAGAAGTAACAGATAGAGGATCAGAAGAGGAACAATGCGGTGAAATCCAGAAAAATTAGTGTCCCATAAGAGAAAGGAAAACTCTGAAGAAAGCAGAGTTGTGTTGGTTGGTGATGTAAATAGACTTAGAATTTATCAGTAGGCTGAGGATGGTGGCTGTCACATGCAGTTGCACCTGCCGTCCCTTCACTTTGCCAGCCTCTGACATCACTGAGTCTGAGTCTGCTCACCCGTCACCTGCACAGGCATCCTCTACCTCCCTAGCTAAAGGATTCTGTCATGTTCCACCCCTTACTGTCCCTACCTAAATCTACAAAGTCATTAAATACCGTTTGTTTCTTAATGTTTACCCACCCCACCAGGATTAAACTGCAGGAAGTGATTCCGACTATTCCATTTGCTACTGTATCCCCAGAGCCTAGGGTACTGTGTGCTACCCTGTGATGGCTCTTATAAAGACTAACTATAACTGAATAATGAATGCCTGTGCAACTGGCATGAATGAATAATGACAAAGCGGAACTTCTTGGAAAAGGTATAACCTATAAAATGATAATTTCCGTCTTACTTGAAGAGCTCATACATAAATTTAACACAAAAAGTCACTACCACAAAATTTAAACACGTTGAAAGAGAGGTTAAGGCTCGTTTGGAGGGTAGGTGAGAAAGTATTCTCTTTAAGCATTTATGATTAACATTTCCCTAACTGGGTCTCCCTGGTTTTTCTAATAGCGCTTTCTGCCTCTTGCAAATCTGGAATGTTCACCAAACATTGAGATGTTCCTTTGCCAAGCTTTTGTACCAACCTGCACAGAGCAAATTCATGTGGTTCCACCTTGTCGGAAATTGTGTGAGAAAATATATTCTGATTGCAACAAATCAATGGACACTTTTGAGATCCGATGGCCCGAGGAACTTGAATGTAATAGGTGAGTGATTCTCAGTGAAAGGGAAAACTGCAAACACTAAATACGAAGGGCATTTCAGTGTTGTGAGCGGATCACGGTACTACTGACATGATTTGACTGATTGTATTGCTGCACACAATATATGTAGGCATGGTGGGGGTGAGCACCATAGACTACGGTTAGCCATAGACATGCTTATTCTTGCTGTCAGGGAACCCACGTGAGGATCAAGGGCAGATAATAAGTAGTTCTGCTGGTGACTACAGTGACTGATGATAGAGTTCCTAAGGCTATGAGAAGGGATTGGTGCCTGTCACCTGCCTTGGGGTGGGTGGTCAAGAGGATTGACTGTTGATAAGTGAATGAAGGATAACGCTGAGTTACTTAGGTGATGGAGAGGGGATGAACACTTCAGGCAGCAGGAGCAGCTTGTCCAGATACCTTGTGACAGGAGAGAGCTCGGCCTGTGAGAAGCTGAGCGAGGTGGCGCATGGCTACATCTCAGTGCTCGGGGCTGTGCCACGTGGGTCAAGAACTCAAGGCCAGTCCAGGCTATAGTGTGAGACCTCGCCTCAAAAGCAAACAGAGCAGAACAGCGAGGCAGTGCAGCGCGAGCCGTAAGTGTAAGAAAAGCTGTGGTGCACACAGTGGTCGGCCTCAGCTCCAGCATGACTGTCTGCTGACAGCAGCGGGGTCCCCAGGTGTGTGAGAGTGGGAATGTTCGCTGTGTGGAACAGGATACTCACACTACCATCTCAGGAGGGTTGTTGGAAATCTCTCCATGACAGCTTGCCTCAGGACCCAGGCCACCTCCCTTTTCCAGCTTTGCTGAGGAGGGAGTGATCGAGATACAGATCTCACTCAACAGCCTGTGAGAGTTTGTCAAGATGTCAATCATTTGGTCACAAGTGAACTAATAAGAAAAGTGGGAAATGAATTTGTGTCCAGAAAGGAGGGAGGGATCCAGGGATGAGGAAGCACAGGGTGTGGTCACTCTGGGGGAGCCTTCACTCTTACTAAAGTGGTGGGGTGAAGGATAGGCCTCGGGGACTAACGGTGGGAGGAGAGATGAAGTCAGACACAGGAACTGTCTTCATGGAACTTGGTGTTGAAACAGAGCAAGAGGTGTGGCGGCCATAGGACACTCAAGGTTCACTGTAGTGAGGTGAGTGGTGTGGTTGGACAGAGGTTTAGTAAGAGATAAAGGAGCAAGAACTGACTAAGAACTTCCAGGAACAAGGGAAAGGCAGTTGTCTGGGGAGGACAGAGGATCCCAAGAGCAAGTCTGGGTAGGCGGGCCCTCCACTGCAACAGTAGGATGGAGGTCAGGATGGCACAGTGTAGGAGGATCATACGGTTACCAAGGTGCCTGAAGGAATCCTCCCTGCTGGTATCTACAGAGAATAGCCAGTGTCTGCATCCTGCTGCATCCTGCCGTGGAGTCTGTACATTTGAGAAGTGACAGGTGTGTTGAGTGAAAGAGCTAGTCAGCTGTAGAGGGACTGTATCTCTTCAGGAAGTGTGGGTGGTCCTGAGGCTGTAGTGGATATTCTGGTCTCTTGAAACACCCGCAGCAGTGGTGGGATGCTTGGGCCTGTGTATTTGAGAAGCAGATATTTGGGTTTATCTGTGGTTGAAGTTTTATCAGATGGATACAGTGCAAAGATAATATGAGGGGCTGGAGAGATGGCTCAGCAGTCAACCAGGGTTCGATTCCCAGCACCTACATGTCAGCTCAGAACCACTCATTAGTCTGGTTCCAGGAAATCTGATGCTCTCTTCTAACCTGCGATGTCAGCAGGCATGCACAGGGTACACATACAAACACGGAGACAGAACACTCGTGCTCATAAAATAAATAGTAAAAAGAAAAGTAAAATGAAAGAACACTGAGAGGGGGGTTCTCTCAGCATTAGTCTGCAACTGTTTTAAGTGGACGAGGACTGAGGTGGAAAATTTAAAGAATTGTCCTGTGGAAATGAGATGTCCCAGAGGTTTAAAAATGCATTGAAGACAGTTTTTGATAAACACAGTGTAAGATCTGAGCTTACAAACCAGGGGCAGGATGCCTGAGTTGATTCCTATGTCATAACTACAGACAGCCAAAGTGGCTAGCCATCATCACTGAGGAAGAGCATTAAGCAGCCAGCGTTTAATGAGCTGTCCACAGGATGGTCAGATCGCTGAGGATGGCAGCTGGGAGGCGGGCTCTCAAGTCTCTGCCCACTCTTCACTGTGCTCTTACTGCACATCTCTCTTGTCACACACCAAACACACCACAAAGAACTCCCATCGTCAAGGGCCTTACATCTTAGTGGCAGGGAGATGAAGTCAGTCCCCTAGGACTTGAAGTCAGGCCCCATTGGCCTGTGGGTGAGATGTTTGCACTCAGTGGGATTGCCTGCGCAGGGTCAAAGCAGGAGGATCGTGACTCAGAAACATGCACTGGTCCCCAAGCTGACATTCCCCCCCCCCCTTTTTTTAGAGTTATACTCTGTAAAGTTTGATTTTGTTGAGAACAAACACTATTTTCTTACACCAAGTCAAATTTGTTTTGTGTTAGGACTACTTGATACATTGCCATAGGAAGTGGAATCTCCATTTGTAAAGAAACTATGTAAACCCAATATCAAACCATATCTCACTTCTACAAAGCAGATAGACACCTCTTCTTAAACTGTCAATTGATTTGATCACTAGAAATATTCTAACTTCGTCCTAGATGTAAAAACAGTCTTCGGGGTTTGATGGCATCTTATTTAGCAATTACAAAAGCAGGAGAGTCTGAGTGAAGCCCTGGTCCTGGCTGCTGAAGGGTTTGACAGCTACACAGGCAGCTTCTGTTTGACTCAGACTCTGGAACAATGGCACACCTTAGGCTCGTGGTTCCCAGGACAGTGCCTCTGTCCTTCCAAGGGCCTTTGGTTTGGAACAGGCAGAAAAGCAAAGACTCAGAGCATTCTCTTGTCTTTCTTTCCCTTATTCATAGACACCCTTTCTTTCTGTGTGCCTGTCCTGTTTTCAAGAAAACACACTTTGGGGCAGGAGCGATGGCTCAGTGGTTAAGAGCATCGCTCTTGCAGAGGACTGGAGTTTGACTCCCAGCACCCACGTCATGTGGCTCACAACTACCTGTGATTCACATCAGTATTACTGTAATATTTGGGCAAGATAAAATTGTTTTCATTAGATATAAGAATCTCAGGAATACACTTTTTTCACCTCACTTATCCTGTCTGGCCCTTTCTATGACCGTGAATAAATGCAATTAATATGATTAATATTTTGTAGGTTTGACCAATTGCAATTACAGTTTATAGTAAAAAAAATAGAATTTTGAAAGCCAGGCATGGTGGTACACACATGTAATCTTAGCACTAAGGATGCTAAGGTGGGAAGATCCCAAGTTGGAGGACAGCCTGAGGTATGCATCAGGTTTAGGCCAGCCTGGTCTACATAGTGACACACCAGAAAGGTCTTAAGCACAGTTAACTTATGAATGATCTTCATCAATTCATTGAACTTTACACTTTATTCTTGACTAATTATTTTGTTTCCTATTCTCTAGACATTAGGGATTTAGAATTTTAAATATTTTTGTTTATATAGTGAAACCTCACACCATAACTTGAGGAAGACTAGTTTTTTGGTTTTGGGTTTTTTGTAATTTACCTCTAGGCTGAAGTAAGTATTCTCTGTGGAATTCACACATTCTGGTAGATGCATAACTATTTTCCAAAACAATAGAATATGTGACAAATTGAAGATGCCTCTATCCTACATGTGGGAAATCTTCTACAGAAACTCCTAACGGAGTCTGAGCCATCAACAAGATTACTAGTTATTCCTTTTTTAAAATGTATTTATGGCAGGTGTGCATGGCACACGTGTGGAGGTCAGAGGACACCTTGTGGGCGTCGGCTCTCTCCTTCCACCGTGCGGGGCCTAGAGATCAAACTTAGATCATTAGGTTTGGCAGCAAGCACCTTTACCTGCCGAACCATTACTGGCCCCTGAGTGAAAACTGCGTGAGCATCCTTCACAGAAGGACTGTGAGCAAGTTGTGCTGCTTTCACTGAACTGCTGCCTATAGTCGACAAAACGCATGCAGCCGACTGACGCCTGTCAGTAGTAAACTGAAAACTACTGTTAAAGTAGAAAGAAGTCAGCACGATGTCGTGTATATCAAGTTCAGAACCTGTGAAACTACTCTCTGAGGTCATGACTAATTAATATAGTAAAATACCTTTTGATGCTTGAGAGAATAAAAACCAGATTTCTGGCAACTAATGTTTCTGAGAAGAGAGAAAAGGGAGAAGACAGGAAAGAAGCCTTGGCCGCCCGCACTGCTGCACTGTCCTTATCTGAGGGTCCTAAGCAAAAGTGCATGGTGTTACAGGTTTTAAACAAAGCTAAAAGATTGTGAGCATTCATTTTACAGGGATATATTTCTATCTTTGTTTGGAGACAGGGTCTCACTATGTAGCTCTGGCTAACCTTGAATTCACTAGGTAGCCCAGGCTGGTCTCCAGCTCACAGAAATCAGCCTGCCTCTGCCTCCCGAGTGCTGGGATCCAGATATATGACACTATAGTCAGCCCTTACTCACTCTCCCTCTCATCCTCTCTCCCTCCCTCCCCCCTCTCCCTCCCTCCGTCCATCCTTCCCTCTCATGAGCTGAGGCTGCGTGAACACAGTGTTCAGTCCATCTCCGATCTCCACCCAATCCAAGAGATGTCTAATCAGCCTTGCACGTGTGCCTTCCCTCAACTGTGAATGCAGCAAGGTCATAGTTTATACTTGGAAAATATAGGACAAAATAAAGGAGGGAGTGGATCTGAGAGGAGTGAGGGGAAGGAGTGGAGAATATGATCAAAATTCATTGTATGCATGTGTGAAATCCTCAAAGAATTAATGAAAATATTTTGAATATATTGAATTTTTGTAAACTTTACAGATTGCCATACTGTGATGACACTGTTCCTGTAACTTCTGATCCACACACAGAGCTCTTTGGTCCACAGAAGAAAACAGATCAAGTCCCAAGAGACATTGGATTTTGGTGTCCAAAGCACCTTAGGACTTCCGGGGACCAAGGCTATAGGTTTCTGGGAATTGACCAGTGTGCCCCTCCATGCCCCAACATGTATTTTAAAAGTGATGAACTAGATTTTGCCAAAAGTTTCATAGGAATAGTTTCAATATTTTGTCTTTGTGCAACTCTGTTCACATTCCTTACTTTTTTAATTGATGTTAGAAGATTCAGATACCCAGAGAGACCGATTATATATTACTCTGTCTGTTACAGCATTGTGTCTCTCATGTACTTTGTGGGGTTTTTGCTGGGCAATAGCACAGCATGTAACAAGGCAGACGAGAAGCTGGAGCTCGGGGACACAGTCGTTCTAGGGTCGAGGAATAAGGCCTGCAGCGTGGTATTTATGTTTCTGTATTTTTTCACAATGGCTGGCACCGTGTGGTGGGTAATTCTCACCATTACGTGGTTCTTAGCTGCCGGAAGAAAATGGAGTTGCGAAGCTATTGAACAAAAGGCAGTGTGGTTCCATGCGGTTGCCTGGGGGATGCCTGGGTTCCTGACGGTCATGCTGCTCGCTATGAACAAGGTTGAAGGAGACAACATCAGCGGCGTTTGCTTCGTCGGCCTCTATGACCTGGATGCCTCTCGCTACTTCGTCCTCCTGCCTCTGAGCCTCTGCGTGTTTGTTGGGCTGTCCCTCCTCTTAGCCGGCATCATCTCCTTAAACCATGTTCGACAAGTCATACAGCACGATGGCCGGAACCAAGAGAAGCTAAAGAAATTCATGATTCGAATTGGAGTCTTCAGTGGCCTGTATCTTGTGCCCTTAGTGACACTTCTTGGTTGCTATGTCTATGAGCTAGTGAACAGGATCACCTGGGAGATAACGTGGTTCTCTGATCATTGTCACCAGTACCGCATCCCGTGTCCTTATCAGGTAGGTGCTAGCATTGGAATATACCACTGTTTACCTTCGATGTTCCTCGAAGTGCACTTGTATTAGTCGTGGTCATAAAATGAGACTTGAGTTTGAGGAGAGCTCTCAGACATAGGAAGTAGTCCCCTGTGTCGTAGCCAGGCTCGGGGACTGGGCCAGGATTGCATTCTTCAAGCGGTAGCTCTGTTACAATACACCAAGTCTCCTGTAATTTTTTTAAACATTAAATTGAAAACAACAAGTTGGTTATAAAAGCAGACCAACAACTATGAAGAATAGACCTCATCATAAGGAGAAAAGAAAAAGTATATCTACTGAATTGGAGAGGTCTTTTTGTTTTGTTTTCACCTCTTCGAGTATTAGGAAAACTGTATGTTTGGGCTTAACCTTCTGTGCAGTGCATGCATCTAAAAATAGAATTTGACTTTTGCCCAGCCCATCCTGCCATTCTTAAATGAGAAAGAGCACACAATAGAAAATACGTTTCATGTGTCTCTGATGCTTATGATTAGTATAAGGTGCTGTTTTTAAAATTAAAAATTGTAAATTCCTGAAAATACATAATTTCTTACAGAATTTCAGTTGAATTTTTAAAATAAAAATTTGGGAATTTTAAAGAATACATTTTAGCAGTACACACGGTGCCTATATACTTAGGAGGCCAAGGTAGGGATCGTTGAGTTTGAAGTCAGCCTGGGAGTGTAGCAAGACTCAGTACCAAGTAAATTAATTAATTAAAGCAAAACAGATTGTGTCTGGCCGGAGACGCAGCTGGGTGGCGCAAGGCTGCGGGGCTTGCGCCCTCCCTCCCTGGTCTTCTTTTTAGCTCCTCCTGAAGAATCCCTTTAAGTGATATAAAGATGAACACTGCACCATTACTAGCAGTTGGAACTAGGTAGTGTGTTTAAACAGGGGCTAGTTGAGTAAGTTAGAACTCACAGAGGAACAAATCTTCAAGCAAAGCACACTCTGTGCTGATGTGGGCGGGTTCCCAGGACTAGTAGTTACCAAAAGAAAGATACTGTACATTATGTGTAATACTTTTATACTTGAAAACTTACAATAATGTTTGCAAATATTGTTATTTAATGAATATATTAAGACTAGTATGCTTTAAACAAAAGTATGCTTTCACTTTTTATGAAATTTGTATACTTTCATGTCTTACTAATGCTTGTTTTGTGGCAGCCAAACAAAGTTTAGCGTCATGTGCGTTAATGCAGGAAGAGTAGAAAATATGAGTCTGACTGCTTTTATGTTTTAATTTTTACTTTCCATGCATGTGTTTGTCAGCATGTGTGTATGTGCATCACGTGTTTGGTGCCACAGAGGACAGACAGTTCTGAACTGGAGTTACAGACAGTTGTCATCTACTGTGTAGGTGCTGGGAACTGAACCTGGGTTCTCTGCAAGAGCAACAACTGCTCTTAACTGCTGAGTCGTCTCTCCAGCCCCTAGATGTATTTAACGTAGACTATAGTGAAGAAAAATAGGTAAATACTTACAAATATCTTAACAATTATGAAAGGCCAGTCTACCAATAGAGAGGGAAGGCCAACAAGTCATGTCAAGATTCTGAAAATCACTCATAAGTATTTTTTTCTGTTAAGAGCCATATTTTGATACACATAAAAGTTCCGTGTTCAGAACTTCATAAAAATGTATTGAACTTAAAATTGTTGTTCATATTACTTATTTCAAACCTTTTACAATAAAACAGATTGGAAATTTATAATTTGTTCAAGCTTTACTTTGACAATGCAGATTTTTCTTTATATTGTAAATATGTTAGTATTTGTTTTGTTTTTGTAGGCAAACCCTAAAGCTCGACCAGAATTGGCTTTATTTATGATAAAATATCTGATGACATTAATTGTTGGTATCTCTGCGGTCTTCTGGGTTGGAAGCAAAAAGACGTGCGCAGAATGGGCCGGGTTCTTTAAGCGAAACCGCAAGCGAGAGTAAGAGCTGATTGGTTATCTTATGATTGTTTTAAAGTAAACAGATCAAAATGCCAATGTTTTACCTAGAATAATAACAATTCAAACCAATTAAATATTCTGTAATATCAGTTTATATTTATGAGTAAATAGTTCATTTTAGTTATTTATATATAGTGTGTATAATATGCTGTGTATATATACATATATATACATACAGATTAATTTTCAATTGATTTGATTACTGAACATAAATTTCATAACTGTAGCTGGACAAGCAGAGCCTACTTTAGCACCACACTTGGTGACCAGAGGGCAAGGCAGGAAGATGCCAAAGGCGAGGCTTGCTTGGACAGCAAGGCCCTGCCTCCAAAATAGCTTAATTCAGAACTGTGCGCCTTACTTACTCCATGTATGGCTCATATTTATGGTCCTATATAACTTTACTATAACTTTTCAACTTGACTGTTAGAAGGAAAACAAACAGAGGTCATTGCTTATACCATGTCCCCTTCCCTCTGGTTTACCATGTAGTTAGCAATTTCTATACGATACAAATGTAGTCAGTCCCATTATGCTGGTGTGTTTCATTGCCTTCAACACTTTGATTTTTGGCCATTTAATTTCTCACAAGTGTGCTGCTTCTCTTAGCAAAAGCAAAGTAGGTGCTTACACAAAAGACTCACTGTAGAGGAGTCCCAGATTTCGTAGATGATGCAAACCATACAGAACTTTTCGCTAATCAAAGTGGTTTTGGAGCAAAGGTTCTATCTGTAACACTTACTGAGCCAATTCTCTCCCTGGGTCTCCCGCAGCCCCATCAGTGAGAGCCGAAGAGTGCTGCAAGAGTCCTGTGAGTTCTTCCTGAAGCACAATTCTAAAGTGAAACACAAGAAGAAGCATTGCAAGGCAGGTTCTCATAAGCTGAAGGTCATTTCCAAGTCCATGGGAACTAGCACAGGGGCTACCACAAATCACGGCACCTCTGCCGTAGCCATCGCCGACCATGATTACTTAGGGCAAGAAACTTCAACAGAAGTCCAGACCTCCCCAGAAGCATCGGTGAAAGAGGGGAGAGTAGACCGAGCAAACACACCCAGAGCCAAAGATCGGGACTGTGGGGAACCTGCTCCCGCAGTGGCATCCAGCTCCAAGCTCTCTGGGGAACAGAGTGACAGGAAGAGCCGAGCAGGCAGCGTGAAGGAAAAAAGCAGTGTGTCGGAAGAGGCTCCAAGTGAAGGAAGGTGAGGTTGGCTCTGTTAGTGGAGTTGCCGTGACTTGAATAGAGCCTTACTCATAGTTTATTGCACATACCTTATCTGGAACAAAACATGTTATGATGAGATATGTACACTTTTAACCTAAGAAAGTTTGGTTTCAACTAATAATAGGGTACTTAATAGTTTAATTCTTAGCTTTGAGAAGAGTCTTAATATATGATGTTCAAGTTGGAAAGTGATATTTGTTTCTTGATAATTGTTAATGATACTTGACACTTAGGTAAGTATTTAAAATGCGTCTAGACTACAGGACAAACTATTATCATGTAGCCTAGCTGAGTGTGGTGGCACATGCCTGGAATCCCAGCACTGGGGAGCTGGAGTTCTGAGGCTCGTGAATTTGAGGCAAGTTCAAGGCCAGCCTCAGCTCTAAACATTGCAAGAAAGAAACAACTCAAGGAAATGAAACGCTATGTTATATCATTCTGTCTAAATGTAATATTTTATACAAGGGTAATTAAATGGTTTTAGTTTCTGAACATAAAAGATTGTAGTGAATTTTTCCCAATGGTCAAAAAATATCCAAAGCTTGAGTGTTTGTTTGTTTGTTTTCTCAGAATGTTGACAGCTAACTGTAGCAAGCTCCCAAGGTTTTATTACCTAGCCTTTTCAGACTGAGCTGAATATATTGTATTCCCGTGATGCTTCCACTTACACAGTTGTAATTAGCTAGATGTTTTTATCCTCACTGGATTTGAGCTGAGGTCTTAGTCATCTTTGTGTTCCTGGTCCTGGCTGTCTTGGAACTAGCTCTGTAGACCAACCAGGCTGGCCTTAAACTCAGATCCCCCTGCCTCTGCCTCCCCAGTGCTGGGATTGAAGGTGCATGCCACCATGCCCAGCAACGTAGTCCTAAACTCTCAATGGCATCTTAACACTGATAAGGACTCAGGACTTGGGAGCAGGGACCTGCCTCAGTAATTGTGTTCCCTGTGAGACACAGTGCTCAGCCATGTGGGAACAGCACTTGGTGAAGTGTGTGAAGTCAGAAAAGGTTGTGGTTTGAAGTGTTGCCCAGGAGCTGTAGTGGGTTATCTCCCACTACAGCTGCTTGGGGTGAATGCGCAGCGTTAGAAGGATGACTGGCATCCTGTGTGTGCTTCTGCTGTGCACATAAACACTCTTGTTTTCCAGGGTAAGTCCAAAGAGCGGCGTTCCTGAGACTGGCCTGATGGACGGCAGCAACTTACAGGTCTCCAGTTCTCCAGAACCAAACAGCCTCAAAGGTTCCACATCTCTGCTTGTTCACTCCAGAGCTAGGAAAGAGCAGGGTGCTGGCAGCCATTCAGAAGCTTGAAGAAAACGGTCTCATTATCCTTGAAGCAAATTAATATTACACTGGAGATGACCAATGTATTTGTCTTAAAAAAAGAACACTGTTGAGCTGGGGGAGTAGCCCAGTGGTAGAGCATTCGCCTGGAATACTTGAGGACCTGGGTTCATCTCCCAGCACTGCAAAAAGAGAATTCACTGTTACAGTCTTCCTTGCACTTAAACCAGCTTTGTCTACTGTGTTTTTGGTTTGGCTTTTATTTTTGTTGCTGTT